AAAATGTCACGTTTGAGACACGCCGTGTATCGTGTGTATCGTCACGCTCATTATCGCTCATGTCTCGCTCAAATTTATGGCCCGAATATCGTTCATGTCATGCCATGATTTTCGGTACGGGATATTACATTTGCAAGTTACATCAACAATTACCTCATTTATCATGGCCGCCTTTAATTAAAGGTTAATTAATCATGTCAAATTGTTCCATTTCCTAACTAAGGGGATTGAGAGAGTAGTTTCAGTTGCATTATTTTAGTATTTAATAATTATTTGAAACATCTGAATGGGTTGATACAGCCAAATAGGTTGTGTAAAATTGCAGATTGCCTATAGTAAAGACAACTGGAAGGATACAGTCTGCTTCTTCATTTCCTGAAACAATAAATAATCGTCAATGTTTAGAATGTACGTAGAATAATGCAGGAGTGGAATGTGCTAAGCAATTCTTCCAAGAAGGGGCTGTTACAGGGACGCCGGAACAATAAAAAGGCAAGGGGGGCAAACGCACACCAAAGGGCACCAAGTCCTACAATTATGTGTTGACTTGCCAATGAAAGCAAACACACTTAATCCGGTCACATTCAAGATCACACCTCATGATTCTGCCCAAAAAGCATCACTGGAAATGTGATTTATCAGGTAGTATTTACTATTTTATATCTCAAAGGGCACTTCTGACCCCCGGGCCCCCTTAATGCCCCTCCTAGCAAAAGGCAAGAGGGGCAGCTGCCCCAGTTCTGGCATCCCTGGGCTGTTAGTATGTGCCTTGTTGTTGTAAACAGTTAGGGTTTTTCCCAGTCCTGTATATATGTGACTGTGCTAATATTTAGGCATAAAAAAATACCGGTCCTGTGGTTCTGGTTCCCGACAGACTCTATTTTTTTCTGCTGACGCTATTATTTTTTCAACGCGATTGACCGTGCAACCCTATTTTCTCTGGGTGGTTGCAGGCTGCTGCCAAAATGGCATCTGTTGTCACACTAATGATTGAAAAAACCATGAAAAAATATTCAAAAAAAAAAATTCCGATAACCAGAACCACAAGGTATTTTTTTTTGAAAAACCATGAAACCGGAACCACAGGTATTTTTTGATGCCTTACTAATTCTGATCTAACGTATAACTAATAATAAACAATCCCTACCAGGTATAATTCCATCATGGACATATTGCAGTAACTCTTGGTCTGGAGGGGAGAATTTCTTCACAACTTTGACATTTTCATATCCACCAGAATCATCAGCCAACACATTTTCTGTTTCTTTAATTAATTAATTGGCAACTAATGAGTATTTAATTGATCATTAATATGATTACATCAGGGTACATTACAACTTAAAGGCTTAATCTCTCAATTCCCAGTTTTTCTCTTGTAGTAACACTGGAAAAGTAAGAAATGGCTCTTACTGGACTTCTACATAATCCAGTAAATTATATAGATAGATAGATATTCAATAAAATTTCTCAGAAATTATTTACAATTTTTTTAACCATGCACAAAGTTTAGTAAGTTATTAACAAAAACATTCTCCTTGGGAAGCAAAGTTTTTCAAGTGCTGTCTTGAAGATTTTAAGGGAAACTTGTGCTATCTTTCAAGTTTTTATCTAAATTGTTCCAAATGTGGACAGCTCAATAGGCAAATGGCTGTTGACCAGCTGCAGTTTTGAAGAGTGGTCTTCACAGAGAGCCCTGTATGTATATATAAATAAGACTTATTAATAAGTTAGATTATAAAGTTAGATTACCCTCAGTTCCAAATAGTACAAGAGCTACTTCGTCCTTAGGAGAAGTAAACATCTAAAAAAACAGTTCAACTAAAACTCAACTAAACTCATTTCAAAGTCTGGGAAGGGTGCAGATATTTCCGGGGGGTAGGGTAGGGAGGTACAGGAGGAAAGTGGCAGGGATTCAGGGGGTTACAAGAAAATTGTGTTTGTGTAACACGATCAATGAACAAGGTGTGCATACTGCAAACTTGCATTATTTGTCTTGATGGACAATCTGATCAAAGTAGGCCAGGGTGCATTTTAAGAGCAATACTGTATGCTGAAGATCTCCGACGTGAGTTTGGCAAATTACAATACTATATATTTATAGTAAATATTGGTGTATCGTCGGCATGAGTTTACATGGAATGCATCCTGGTAAGTAGGCACAGTCACATTGACGATCATCTTTTGTTTTATACACTGTATATAAAGATGGATGTGTTTTCAAATATTGACTTTTGGTTGCAAATATACTACATAATTATAATGTCTATAATTGCAACTTACTAATACAAAATGATATTAACCAATTGAGTGGCAGCACTCTCCCCTGACAGGTAAAATCGTGTGGAGTTAGAGAGAGTAAAATAACAAAGTAGGGCACATTGCCACTTAAAGGGTTAATACAATCATTACAATGTTGTAGCAGTTACTTTCTACTGATTTGTACATATTCTACATAGCTTAAACAAACGAATCACACAAAATACATTAGATCAACTTATACTTTTCTCGTCAGAATCATCTTGATCGCTTTAACTGATGTCTCCAGCGCCGTTTCATGGCCAGCCGCTGCTTGGCACATGGATGGACCAACGTCCAAGATTATGACGAGAAATGTCTAAAAAAGCAACGAAAACAATGAATAGAATGATTTTAAACACACAAAAATAAAACAGCAACTTAATTTGGACTAGGTAAATTAAAGATTGGGAGGAAAACTGGTACAAGAGTGTTGATTTTTAGCAAAAATAATGAGAAATTAAAATTGAACGCACTCACCTTTGCCGCCATGTTGTTTCTCTTTGGGCAAATTCGAACATGCCCGCGCCGCGAATGATGTCATAAAACCGAGGGATCCGAGGACTCTGCGCTCCTCGCTCGAGGAATATCTAAAAACGCACAAGTTGTTACAAGTCTGCAAACAAGTTGTTACAAGTTTGTTCACAAGCTGTCGACAACCCCAAGTTGTGTTCGCACTGCTTGTTCCCAGTTGTTGTAACAAGATTGGAACAAGCTGTTAACAACTTGTAACAAGCTTGATGGCATTATCAGACTTGTTACAAGGTTGTTCTAACAAGTCTGATACAGTCATGATAAACAAGAACGCCTATACAAGGTTGACGACACAAGGTTGTAACAATATTGTTGTATCATGACTGTATTGGAACAACCTTGCAACAAGTCTGATAATATCAGCAAGGTTACGTTGTTACAAGTTGTTAACAGTTTGTTCCTAACTTGTTGACAACTTAGGACAAGCAGTGTGAACACAACTTATTGACGGCTTGTTGGCAGACTTGCTACAAGATGTGAGATTTTTGCGTGTGTAGATTGAATCTTGTAGCAATTCTGCCAACAAGTTTTGCCAAGTTGTCAACAAGTTTGAAAAAAACTTGTAACAACCATGTTGATATTGCCAGACTTGTTGCAAGGTTGTTCCAACAAGTGCGATACAGTCATGATGTAACAATATTGTTACAACCTTGTGTGGTCAACCTTGTAACATTCTTGTTATATCATGACTGTATCAGACTTGTTAGAACAACCTTGTAACAAGTCTTATAATGCCATCAAGCTTGTTACAAGTTGTTAACAGCTTGTTCCAAACTTGTTACAACAACTGGGAACAAGCAGTGCGAACACAACTTGTCGACAGCTTGTGAACAGACGTGTAACAACTTGTTTGCAGACCTGGAACAACTTGTGCGTTTTTTACGTGTATACGGCAGCTATTTCCAAGCGAGCAAAGCGGAAAAGTCGAATACGAGCGTGAAAGGCTGTTGGGAATCGCTTTGAAAATTCATTAATTGTTAGCGATTCCCAGCAGCCTTTCGCGCTCGTATTCGACTTTTCCGCTTTGCTCGTGGACAACCTTAATTGAAATAGCTGTATACTTTGTTATTTTACTCTGTCTAACGCCAGACGATTTTACTCGTCAAGGGGAGAGTGCTGGCACTCAATGAGCTCGACGCTGCATTCTACGCTGTCCTTTGAATTGTTGTGTGACATTTTGTTCTAAAATATTTTTCAGAAGCTTGTGAAGCAAGGACGTCTTATGTTGTTGCTGTTGAGATGAACAAGATGTGATGAGAGTTTTCAGAATGGCGACATAGACCATGCTTTGCAACGTTAACTACACACGTAAAAACGCACAAGTTGTAACAAACCTGCAGCAGACTTATAGCAATGCTGTTCCAACAACTTGTCAACAGGATGTGTTCGCACTGCTTGTTCTCAGCTTGTTGACAACTTGCTACAAGGTTGTTGAGCTCAATAGTTGTTCCAAGAACTTGCTATCGTTCTGCAATTCAACAATTTGTCAACACGTTGTGAGTGACAACCTTGTAGCAACTTGATAAAATAACAGCATTGTCACAACTTGTTGACAAGCTTGCTACAAGCCTGTTGCGAACACATCTTGTTGACAAGTTGGGAGATTTTTACGTGTGTAGTACTCATATGGAATTTTTGAGGCTGCATAAAAATTAAACTATACTGGATAGCTTTCTGTAGCAACGTGAAAAATCACCTATCCGTACCTTTTAGGAACGTTATTTTCAGAGGAATTATTGCAACATTATACATTCCGTATCGCGTCGCTACGCCGGAAAGCTATCTGATATAACGTCTGTTGCAATTTAAGCAAAATTTTCAAACCTATATTAAATATGTTGGGTTGGAACATACTTCGAAGAAGCAAAAAGATAATTTAATATATTGAAACAAACATTCATATACGTATCTTCATGATTGTGAACCAGAATCAGCTTTATTTACGATTCATAGAATCATAGCCTTTATTTAGGATTTTTATTATTTTGTAAATATTCCTATGATTGTGATAGTTATTAATATGATGTATAAAAGATAACTAGATAGATCCTTGAAGATTTTTCAAAAGTTTCACCTAGCCTCGTTTGTTCAAATTCATTTTTTGAGACGCTTCGGTGACCAGGGGCTTCGGCGGTTGTCAAAACAAGCGCTTTTCATCTCTGAGATTGTGGGTTCGTTCCTCATTACGGACTATTAATATCTGCCAAAACTCTCGGGCCTTTCTCTGGGTACACACGTAAAAATCTCACATCTTGTAACAAGTCTGCCAACAAACCGTCAACAAGATATATTCGCACTGCTTGTCCCAAGTTGTCATTTTGTCAACAAGTTTGGAACAAGCTGTTAACAACTTGGAACAACTTTGTCGAACTTATCAGACTTGTTGCAAGGTTGTTCGGACAAGTCCGTTATGCTTGATATAACAAGATTGTTACAACCTTGTGTTGACAACCTTGTAACATCCTTGTTATATCATGGCTGTAACAAATTTGTTAGCACAGTCTTGTAACAAGGCTGATAATGCAATCAAGCTTGTTACAAGTTGTTAACAGCTTGTTTCAAACTTGTTACAACAAACTGGGAACAAGCAATGCGAGCACAACTTGTTGACAGCTTGTGAACAGACGTGTGACAACTTGTTTGCAGACTTGTAACAACTTGTGCGTTTTTATGTGTATACTCCGGTTTTTTCCCACAGGGAATGTTCATAGGATGGGTTGGGATTATCCCCGTGATCATATGAGTCATAAAGTGGCTTCCATAGGCGCTCTTAGAAAGCCTTCGACTCTTTTTGAGCCGAAGGTTAAGCTGTGTCCTTCATAATTCAGCTTAGTTCACCCCACTTATTTACTGACTTCGTTGTCCACAACTAATAGGCCGGAGTTTAATACGCATGTACAGTAAGACGGCAACATGAGGAGGACGGCTACACGCGTAAAAACGCACAAGTTGTAACAAACCTGCAGCAGACTTGTAGCAATACCGTTCCAACAACTTGTCAACAGGATGTGCTCGCACTGCTTGACAAGTTATTAACGACTTGTTGACAACTTGCTACAAGTTTGTTGAGCTTAAGGCCTGTTTTATACGTCGAATTTTGGTCGCGTCGAATGCAATTCAAACAATAGATATAATGAATTAATAGGTTAGGTTTATCATCTCATTATCTATTGTTTTAATTGCATTCGACGCGACCAAAATTCGACGTATAAAACAAGCCTAACAGACTTGTTACAAGTTGTTCCAACAACTTGTTATCGTCCTGAAATTCAACAATTTGCCAACAAGTTGTGAGTGACAATTAACTTTGTAGCAACTTGATAAAACAACAGTATTGTTACAACTTGTTGACAAACTTGCTACAAGCCTGTTGCGAACACATCTTGTTGACAAGTTGTGAGATTTTTACGTGTGTTGATATAAATATCTGTGATATAAATACAATGTCATTAATCCTATAGGAAAAAATTAACAATTAAAAGTGTTAGTGAGATCTATGGTGAGATCAGTGGTAACCGCTGTCGAGTGTATCTAAAAGTCGAGGGTCGAGAGTCGAGAGTATAGGTCGAGAGTCGAGAGTAAAAGTCGAGACTCGAGAGTAAAAGTCGAGAGTCGAGAGTAAAAGTCGAGAGTCGAGAGTAAAAATTCGAGAGTCGAGAGTAAAAAGTCGAGAGTCGATCGAGAGTAAAAAGTCGAGAGTCGACAAATGTCATCAGAAACAAAGTCAAAATATTTTTATTTTTTAACCACGTTTAACACAATCTATATATATAGCTTTACATAGCCATTCCGTACCCAACGGCTGAAATACAAACTTTCCAATAAATATTGCTACAACAGTCAATAATCAGTGGCGGAAATTCACTTTTTCCGGTGGGGAGGGGGGGGGGCAAAGCCTCCTAAATTTCCGACAAAACTTTGAAATTTCCGACGTACCCCCCCCCCCCCATTTGCACTCGAAAAGACTGTTTTTAGCCCTCTTTTAGATCAAAATTTCCGAAAATTCGCCAATTTTCCGGAAGGTGGGGGGGAGCGGTGCCCCCCCCCCGCCCCACCAAGATTTCCGCCACTGTCAATAATAATAACGTGATAACAAAAACAAAAAAGATTGGATAAGAAAATGATAATATCGCATTTGATGCCTCAATCTTGCTAAATGTTTTCACATGTCATTTCATTCTAACTGACATGCACATAAACTTCGCGGAATTTGACAGCCATCTCCAGGCTTGTAACTAAAATGTCACTTATTCATTAACGTACGTTTATATCAAACGAGAGCGTATTAAGAAATCCACGTTGATCACAATCTAACGATTCATACAATTGTGAATTTATAAATACGAGCCAGTAAAAATAGGATTCT